CTAATATCCAAATAGTTCATGTTCAAAGATTGCATTTGGTAAGAAATAATGGTGAATCTTAGCCTTATCTTGTGACAACAGCTAGGTATAGATGATCATGCAATTATGTTAATATAAGTGCCTTTTATGTAATTATCAGGTAGTCTTTCACAACATTGTCATACGTAGTCTTTAGAGATGATATTTTTAATCTAAGCTCCACGCAAACAGTTCAAGTTTATTTTTTTCAATTCAACAGTCTACTGCTGCCTCCACACAACAATGCAGCTAAGATACATTGCACTTTATTACATCCAAGCACAGAGAGCAAGAGAAAATCATTGTACTTGTTAAAGTCTGTTAACAAATTTTGTATTGTAATACTGCTTCAGAATTGGGAAGATTTGTGTGGTAAATAATATTGTTTAAAATGTTTTAAGGCTCCTGTTCTATTTGGACAGAGCCTATAGCATAGTTTTTACAGTGAGTTAGTTCATAATTGTGTTAGTTCAAAATGTTTCTACTCATCAAAAAAAGCTGTAGATCAGAAGAAACACAGGTAAGAAAAATGAGTTTCTGTTGCTTCTTGCTCACTGTGAGCCTCAAGGGTCTGAAAGGAGTAGATCTCTTATTCAGAAAGGGCCATTGACAAGAAAGCCAAATCTAGGTACCCAGGCCACAGATCATTTTTGTTTGGACAATATGTTCAAAAAAGGACTCTGCAGTGCCTCAAAAATATAAGTAGAAAGGATGCTAAATTAACAGGATCACTGAGAGACCTTCCTTTTGCCCTTGAGTTAAGACAGTCCTTAGGCAGTTCACTCCAGGGAATATGAATCCCAAAAGGAGCAGAAGTTTTTGCAATGTTGATACTTTCCTGAATTAATTGGGGTGCATCATTCTAAATGCCCTCCTTTGGAATTCTTCACATAATATTCTATGAAGAGAGTGTTAAGACATTACATCGATCAACAAATTCAGTTCCTGGTGCTTGAAAGATTTAGTAAAGGAATGAGGAGACTGAACATCTCTGTTCTGGAAGAAGTAATCATTAATGTTGTATTAAAATAGACTACCTGGAAAAAAGAAAGCAAGGAGAAAATCAACCAGATGCAGTATATATATTCTCTTCCTTTTAGACTCAGGTCCTCAGAAACAGAGGGAGAAAAAAACATTTAACAGGCAATAACATTTTCCAAATTCTGCTAAACTGTCTTGACACTAGCAAGAACCTCCTAAATACAACTGGCACCACCAAAGCTAAGGAATGTAATGCAAAGGATAATCAGCTTTATATTAAACATAAATGCTTTTTCAAGCCCATAATACAGAATTGAATCAAAAGGAACTGGCAAATGTTTAACTACATCGAACTAGTGAAATTTCTTCTTTTAATTTATTTAAGCATCTGTCTGCAGCTTATAAATTGGTCTACAAATTTTAATACTCCAGGATTCTTTATTTGGTAGTTGATGCCAAAAGTTGCTACAACAACTAACAAACAAATGAAATAATTTCTGAGAAGTGGGAGAGGCCATTGTTCCCTCTACATTCTTGCAATGCAGGAATAAAATTGGCATTAGAGAGGCAACTCCCTCATCCCCAAATAACAAACCCCCTCATTTTGACTGTTAAATTTTCCCACCTTCCTTAAAAGTAAACATTATCCCTTTCAGACCAAAAATAAAACAAGCAATGGTTATTTTGTAGTGCAGCTGAAGAAAAAACAAAATGCTAGGGGATGACTATGAGGAAGCAGCCTTGAAGCTTTAATGGCACCAGTGGAAAGATCCACCTACCTGCCCAAAAAAGAGAGCTGTCTGTTGTTGTAAAATAATGGTTGTTTTCGTTTGCACATGTCATTTTGGAAAAATGATGCTTTTTCTGGTTTTAAACACTACTTTAATTTTTTCAGATTCATGTGAGTTACGTGCATATCACCACTACAACTCATTCCACCTTCCTAATACATGAGTTTGTAAACTAAGGGAAATGGTAGGCCCACCAATCTAGCAAAAAAGTTTTCTAAAATAAAATTTCCATGGTAATAGTTTTTGGTGCTTTGTCTACTGTACAACCTCAACAGACGTAATTTCTTTACAGCTAATTTCTCTAATGATTAGAAGCTTGGCAGCCTTCACTGAAGATGAGATTATTTTTAAGTCTGTTCAAAGACAACAAAAAATTAACAAACTTTCACCATCAAGTAGATCTCTATAAACTATGACTAGACATGCAATTTCACCAGCAATTCATTACCAGTAGTCGTATCTCTCCATGGTATTATTGTATTTGACTAGATTTTGTACTGTGATTGTAAACAGTAAGCCTTGAGGTTTTTTCCCTGTATATCAGGAATCTAGAAAACTGTTATTTTAATTTTTTTAAAATTCATTAAAAAAAATAGTCAAACTACCATTCAAGACAGCCCTCAAATAGGAAGAAAAATTAACATAAAATGATGCAGCCATAATACTTTAGCTTCTGAAATGCCCTTCTTCACTTGTTTCCACTTGTTTACATTGTGTTTAGGGTAGCAGATTAAGGGATAACAAACTAGGATTGTTTCAGAAAACATTAACATGCTGGGGAAGAGGGCATGAAGGGAAGAGAGAACTATGAAAAAAAAGAGTAGGCTGACTTGTCCAGTATCTTAACCTCCTACAGAATGATCTCTTCAACTTTCATAATAGCTGAATTACAAAAACTTTCTAAATCTTAACAGTGTCTTTCAATGAACATTTTAGGTACCTGTAATATTTTTCTCTCTTTTTATTGACAGAATCTGGTTTTTTTCATTTGCCATTATTTCCCAAAGATTTCACCTAGAAGATTGATCTTCTACAGTAAAAACAAGAGGAAAATTTTACAGATACTACGTCTTAATAACACTGATCTCATATTTGCACATTTGTTGCTTTATTTTATGTTTGAATCCTATGTTTGAAAATGTCATTAATTTTTTTCTAAAATCAAATATGCACACAAAAACCAAAAGCAAAGCAAAGGATGATGAATGGAGTATCAAATTCACCATGTATGTGAAACTTCAGACCTACTCAGGTCAGATTTTCACTGTATCCCCATTGAACAGTTTCTTCTACCCTGAAAGGCTCAGGATGACACAAAATCACTATGTTTATCTTCAGCAAGTTTGCAGCTGTAATCAAGAAATTCTGTCAGCAACTTACTGAGTTACAGTCCTCTGGAGGATAAAAGTAGAACTTCAATTTTATTTTCCATAAAAGCATATCCCAAAATCAAGATAATCTGCAGTTTAATCAACAGTAGTATATACTTACTCTACTCTTTTTCATTAACAGAATGGGAACAGAATTAATTTCTCATCATTCCCCAATACATCTTTCTACTTATTCTATCATTCTCCTTTCTGTGTGCTATATCAATGCTTCGTAAACTCAGTCTACTATCTGTCAGTTTTGTGAAGCTTGTAACTTCTGCACGAAGAACATTAGCATTGATCCACATCTAGAACTGAAATTTGTAGAGAGAGATGTGATTAATCCACAATAGCATCCAGAATGTTTGATTTACAGTGTGAACATAAACTAGTGGAAAATTCCACTCAGCCTATTATGGGAGCTTTGAAAGTGAAGTACTACAAGCATTTCCTTTAATCTTGGTATGAAGGGTAGCAATTCTGATAATGAAGACTGGTTAAATCTGCAAAAAAAACTAGCACTGATCCAAGTGACTCCAAAAAGTAGTGACTAAAACATGACAGACACTAGCTATATCCACTTTACCTCATTGCAACTGCTTCTCTGGGCATGGCACAGAATCAAGAGCCAACAGGTCTTTTAAAAAGTGCACTCAACAAGCAAGTATTCTGAATTACAAAATTAATAGGTAGCTTTCCTCCAGCATGCAGCAACTATTCAAACTTTTCAAGTCTCATTCACTTCACCATTCTGACACTTCATGGTTGCCTGCTATGATTAGAAGTTATATCAAACGGGCGAGTTGTCTCAAAACTAGTATTCTGCTGCTATATAATCCTAGGTTTCAGTTCCATACAGATCCCTTCTGCTGCTATTGTATCATGTGTACTAAACATTAAACAGAGCATGCCACCCAAAAGAGCATACGGTACCCTTCACAATTCTCCTTGTTATCAGACCTGAAATGTGTCAAAGTTTATTCTACATGGCTGTCTTTGACCATCAAGATCTAAACCTTGCTGTAACTAGATGACACTGAGGAAAAGTGATAATCTACAGTCTTCTGTTCTGCCCTACAGAGGCAGCTGTGGAGCTCTAGACAGAAATATGCTGTGCTAGAAACAAAATACAGCTGCAATAAAAGAAGATACACATTTTAAATTCAGAATAACTTCTCAACGTCTTATATAAAAAGGCTGGGCAGATTAAACTGAAAGCCACGGATAATATTGGTTCAATGAATATCTAAAACCTTACACAAAATAACTTCCATTCAGGCTGTGTCTAAAATTCTACTTTTGTGTGTGTGTCAGAAATTATAAATCAGACATTCAACTTGATCACAGATGTACAGTTTCAGTAACACTTTTCTACCAATTTAGAATGTGATGTTTTATGAAATTGCAGGTTAGCATGATTTAATATTTATATTTTTGTAGCATTTGTAGCTCAACCAATTATGATTAAATGCTGTACTAATGTAAGAGGTGGTAGTTACGGCCCCTTTCCTATCAAATTTATGTCAGAGAACATATGAGTAGGGTGGACAGTTCCAGAAACTACATAACAGCATGCTTAAAGTTCTTTACAGTCAGAAACAGAGATCTCATATCGCCACTAGCCTGGCTAGGATCAGATTGTAAATGTCTGTTTCCATTTGCAACAACACATGACTTAAAAGAGCCTGAAAGAGATTGGGATAATTCAGATTTAATTGACACATGTAAAAGATGTCATGGGAAATGCAAAGGAAGTTACATAATCTTCACATTAGAATGAAGCATCTCCTGGGCTTAGGACTTTCACCTGTATCTTGCATAAGTTTAAAACAAAACAATAAACAAAGACCTGGATAAGGATCATGTCTAAATCACACTCGGTATTGAAGAAAATACAGTGTGACTATACAGACTTAAAAAATTCTTCCTACTATTACTTCAGGTATTCTTTTTTCAGTAAAACCTACAGAGATGATATTCAGAGACAATTTCTAGAAAACACCTCATAGCTTAATCTTACAATTGTGCCAGGCCAGTTGCAGAGTTCTCTGCCTGTATGAATTCTAGTTTTCAGCAACCTTTCACTATAGGTTCCTGCCTACCAAGTTCTGCTGGAATTGTTCTACAAGGGCCACATGCATGTGGCAATTTCTCCATAACTTCAGGATAAACAAGTATAATTCTTGAGCAGGTTTCTTTTTTTTCTGTGCTGACAACAAGGTGGGAATGTCTCCCACATTAGGCACTCCTTTCCTTTTCAACAAAAGTAAACTCAGAAACTGTATGAGAGGTCTTCATGGGATTTGAAATGTGAGTGCCTCTGTTCTCACATACATGGTGAGAAGTATCTATCTGTGAGTCCCAGAACTTTCTTAAAGTAGTTCATTGTTGAGGCTGCTGCATAGCCATGCACAGTACAGAATGAAAGTCTTAGCCCATAGAAGCAGTTTACTCGAGTGTATTGCTCACTATTTTTTAAATCAAAATCTACAATGAAAGTCCAAAACTAAAGGCACCTCTCTAAGGAAAACATATTTGAAGAACATTAGTTACAGAGGAATAAGCTGCCTTTGTTATATTGCCAGCCTGCAGATTCTCATAGCAGAAGATTAACAAGAGTTACTGTTTCCAGAACAACTGATTGAGAAAAAGAAAAAAAAAAAGCAGCACTATAAGATATACAAGCTTCTTTTAAGAAGCAAAATAATTTGGACCATCAGAGGCCATATCTTAATGATGTAGTCACACAACACTGCTTTCCAATGCTACCTGGGTAGCCCACAGGAGTATTATTCTAGTTAGATCAAGACAAGTTTTGGACAGTTCTGAGATTTGAAAGACTCCAGAAAAATGAACTCTCTCTGTTTAGGATGACTGTGCAGCTTGTAAACACGGAACTACAGTTCTGAGTAGATCTTAGAGCAGACACTCTCTTTTTATAAAAGCTGACAGGTTAAATTCACTGCAGAGGCAGATTTAAGATTTCTCAATATTTGAGCATACACTTCCGCCTTCATCTGACATTTTGTATTAACTTTCATCTAGAACCACTTGAAATTCTCGAATGGATAGTTCACTTATCCACAAATATTGTGAGATATAATTTTCAAGACCGCAAATACTCCAGTCTTTGGCATACATCGACTGTATGAGTTAGGCACAATACCACAGCATGCACCAATACAGTACATATTTACTATCATCAGAAAGAAAGAAAATTATTCTTAATTTCATTAAGGTTGTAAAACAACAATGCTCAGTAAAATTCCAAAATAATAAATAAAAGCTCTTCAGCACCCTCCAAAAATTCAATATATACTGGTACTAATCTAAATAAAGTAAGTGTTTGTTTAAATATTACAAGAGTTTTGAACCAATCACTGTAGAAATGGTCAAAATAAGTTTCAGTTCTTCCAATTTTCCTCAACTCCTGTAAATCTTTGACAGAACTACAAATGCTTTTCAAGGGCAATTTTGACGTTACAGTTGAAAGTACATTTACACTTCTATCTAGACTGGACCACAGGTAAGGCAAAAGTGTTAAATCAAGACAAGAGTGCCCCTCAGTGGCAGTATGTTGGTATAATATACAAATATATGATACTTTAAAATAATATTCTGAATATTTATTTTCATCACTCAGGGACAATGCTCTATTAAATCACCTTCTTTCTAAACAATATCATCACTATGAATCAGAGTTCTTTAGCACATACTTAAATTCATTCATTATTAAATTGTATGTACATCATCAGGTATAAATATTTACTACAAAGCAACAGTTGCTAAATATATTTGCCTACTTATAGCCAAGTGTTTTGTGGTTGGGTACGTGCATATGTCTACACTTCCCTGTTATTTTTAAAGAAGACAGATTTGTTGTGAGAAGTCTTGATGCAAAAATCAATCTGCAGTATTCAAATTGTTTATTTAGTTCTGTGTCCTCAGCAGTGAGAAAACATGCAGTAGTTTTTTAAGAACTTTAAAAACTACAGTATCTGAATTGCCTGTAAGATTTGCTGCATGTACTAGGTTGTATTAATTCACTCAAAGAGCAAAACTCTCATACTTCAGAGTACTGTTCACACATATACTGCTTTTTAAGCCTATCCTGAAACCTGCCCAGCTCCTTTCTCCTCACTATGGAGATTATAGAAATATAGGTCAAGAACATTCACTACTACAGGCTTAGACAAATAGCACCTCACTGCAGCTGATCACTGGGAACAACTGACAAGTACTAAACAATGGCATGGAAGAATTGGCATAGAACAGAGGGGCTGTTGTACTTTGTATGTTCATTAGCACTTGTTATCTAATCTGGTTATCTCAATATTCTTGCTGATTTAAGTAAAAACAGGCCTTGAAGCATAACTATAGTTTAAATTTTTTAGGGCTATATCATCTCCTCTGTCATATTTGATATACATAGCTGCAAAAAATATAGTCACGGCTGATGACACCTGGTGGCAATGATCACAAAATCTGCACAACACAACAATATAATAATTTACACAACAGTATAACAATTTACTAGCTTTCAAGTATGGTGACCAAGGCCCAGGAATCTGAAACCTTTGAATAGTTTCAGTAAAGTAATTCTACTCATGTACATCATGGGAAATTCTCTTCAAGTAAAGTAGTTCTACTTACTAATTGTAACTTTGTCTTTATCCCCCAGCATGACATTGTTCGGAGTGAGATCTCGATGAACGATCCTTTTCTCTTTATGCAAATAACGAAGAGCGAGGCAAAGCTTAAAAACAAATAGAAAGAACCTTACAAAGTTTCTTAACTACAACCTGATAAAGGCACATGAAATTAAATTCATATCTGATATTAGTGCCTGATACAATAAGCGTTACTTGGCATTTATTAGCCTAACAAACATAAATGGTGCTACTAATTACATGCAGGAAAGTCCTGATAGCAACAAAAAAAAATATGAAGGCCCTTACTTGGATAAATATATGCCATATTCTTTCTTCTGTAAACTGCTGTTGCTTTTGCTTCAAAGAGTGAAAGTGTTCTCCCAGTGGCACTCCCTCTATGAGCTCCATGACTATGTACAATCTGTCATCTACATGAAACAAAATAAATTCAGAGAATATTACATTTATATAGAAGGCATTTGAAAATAGAGTGTTTGAGGTTAAAATACATTTTAAAAGCTGTTATTTTTTACTTTTTAAAAATGTATTTGCACAGACAAATACATTTTAACCATAGTTCTACTCTTTTTTATTCCATTTTCCCCTCAATTTATATCACAGCAACTATAAGGAATTCACTGTCTGATAATCATTCAGTGGGCAGGTGTATGTAGCTAACTATAAACAAGAAAATTAAGACAATTCAGCTGACCAATCTACACCATTCATTCTACTAGTCACTATAGCTTTTCTCCCTACCTAGCATTCCAGTTGTAAATTTTGCATCCTAAACTCTATAGGATGAGAATGATGCTTTCTACATGTTTGCATTGCATCTAGTTTTACTGATAGATAAACAAATATAAATATCATTCCTTAGCATTTTTTCAATTTGAAAGGAATATAAACCTGTCTGAACCATAGCAGTTCTTGAAGAAAATATTACCATTTATTGCTCAAATTCAACATACTCCTTCAAAGCCATAAGTGCTTTTATTACGTATTTCTATTTCTTCATTATGTACAATGTAGTAATTCTCTGCATTTATACTTACTTTCCAAGAAGGTTCTATAATACCGTACAACATTTGGATGATAAAGCTGCAATGAGGAAAGAAATTCAGATATTTAGAACAGTTAAACTGATGGCACAGTATTTATAATGTTTAGCTACACATTGGAAGGAAGGATTCCACAAGGATTCCACAAACTTGTTCATGAACTGCAGTGCAGTAGACCTTCGTTCCTACCCTAAACACAGAGAAGTGTTGCACGTTACTAGAGCAACCAAGTGGAAAACACAGCATAATTCCTATCCACTCTCCCTTTAATAACTGAAAGAGAGTAAATGAAGTTTGAAGACAGGCAATTAATCCTGCATCAAAGAATTAGCTTTCTTAGCCTAAGAACACTAATGATCAGTCTGTTTCTTTAATTTTCAATTACAAAAAAATACTACCTTCTCACTGTATTTTAAACCCAAGAATTCATTAAATGGAACAAAGACTCATCAGTTTTCTATCACAATCTTAATTTACAGAATCCCTGAAAAAAGTTCAAAATACTGCCAACACAGAAAGTAACAATCTTGAGTAACAAGCATTTGCGTTGCTGCTAACATTACAGTAAGAAGGTTTTCAATATTGACAGCATTCAGGTAAAAGGGGCCAATATTATACTGATCAGACAAAAATAGCATTTGGAAGCCCTGCTATATGGGAACTCACAGTTAATAATGCTAACAGCAGAATGGCCATCCATGAAACTAGAGTCCATGAGACAAACCTGCTCTTTGATGATGGTTAATTCAGAGACAATGTTCTTTACACTGCTGTCTCTGTCTTTTTTGTCCTTTCCAAATGCCGGATTGTGTAAATTGACTTCTTTCATTGCCAGGAGATTTTGTCCATTATGTTTTCTAACCTATAAAAAAGATAAAACCCTTGTAAAATTAATATAGAAAGGATATTATTATGGCTACCAGATTAGTTACCAGAGTCTTCGCTTTTTCTGTGTATGATGTGACTACTCAAAAGAACTGGAGCCCCACAATGCAGGTTAGCAGTATACTGCTGAACTTGCCACAGTGTTCGAAGTGACATTATCCATGCCCAGTGTTGCTTTTCAGATAAAACATGCTTGAATTTCTGTGGTTTTATACAGATTTGTTAGCCTGTGCAATAGACTTAAATGCTGTTTGGGGAAAGGAATTAAAAGAAAGTAGGAAACATAAGAGATACACTGGTCAATGTTATAAGTGCAAGAGGGTACAAGCAAAACCACAGCAAATACTACCAACATGCCCAGATCCATAAAGGCCTTTTCATACGTGCATTCCCCTACTGAAACTGAAAGGAGGGTAGTGCCCAAAAGAGGTATTAGACCCTCTTCATGAAGCCTCCCCTCAAAACGGTCAATTAATATGAAAAGGGAAGTTTACCTTATATACACTTCCAAAAGCTCCACTGCCAAGGTGCTCTAAAATTGCGTAATTGCCTATATGTTTTGTAGGTGCCTTATTCTGATTCATACTCTCAATACTTTCAGCAATTTGCTTCAATTCATCCTCCTGGTTATAAATTAAATGACAAATAAATAAATATAAAATATTTCATGCCTTTCTTGTGGTAAGAATGTGCAAAGAATACAGCTTCTTAAAGATATGAAGGTTTTTATTTACCTTTAATAAATTTAGCTTTGATACCAACTCTTCATAAGCACTGATATCACGCACATAATGTCCAATATCAATGAAGATTTCAAACAAGTCAGTAGGGAAAAGCCTACATAAATTTAAATTTTGATATATTTTAGAAACGGTGTACACAGTAGCTATTAATTTACAGCAAAGACTTTTCAATGTTTATTACAACTTGCTTTAGAACCTTCTAAATTATACGCTTATTTTTTACTAATCTGTTCAGATATTAACTGTCTAACACTACATTCAGAGAAGTTAAAGGACCTTTCAAATGTCAGACTTCAGCCTCCATAGGTTGGGTGTTAATATAAATGCCAGTTTTCCAAACAAGTATAGGCCTCTTTAAAGTTAATGCACCTCCTGAGTTTCCAGTCCTTTTCCTGTTTTTTTCTTATAGCACTTTCTATTGTGCTTGTTGCCACTTTAACCGAGTTCCTTCTTGTAATGCATTAAGCAACAGGATCAACATTTGTAGGTATTTAAAGAATCATGACACCCATCTTAGAATTTTTGTCCAAGTCCAGTCTAAAGGATGAAAATGATTGAGAAAAGCAAAAGCTAGTAGTAGGCAATATTTGGTTAGTGACATGCTTAACTGAAGGTTTCTTTATAAAGTTCTGGCACAAGTAGAAATACAGAAAATTAAGGCATTTAGAAAACTATGAAAGACAGCAAATCAGTCCAGATTTATCACTTTCAAAACTTGACACCATCCATGAATGTTCATTAGAAACTGGGGCCCTTTCAGTATAAAATCCACCTTTTAAAAAGCAAAAATAACACCAGTTATACTTAGAATTCTAGTAATTTATGATACAGAATAAAATCATACAGAAACACTACTGACAGGCAGACCTCCTAGGCAGTATGATTACTATCCTAATCCCAGAAATCAAACTGTTAGGTTTTACATAGCCTTTGTAGCCAATCTGGTGAAACTGTCACCTTACGAGTAAAAATGGATGATTGATGAAAGAAATTTTCTCCTTATTGATCCAAACCTTTCAGCAACACTCCTAAGTAAACCAGTGTGATGCAAAGTCATTCCCATGTGAAGGTGGGGAGGGCTGAGAGAAAAAGTTTACTGCTCCCAGTTACTTGCTACTATCCAGGGCTGTAACTTGCATCTGTTAATCTTCAGGATAAAAGTACAGTTTATCTCCAACAGCATTAAATCTGTCCTCAACATATTTTAAATGTTGATTCATGGGGGAGGAAGGAGCCTCTACAGAGCCAGGTTCTCTGGCATGCATACAATAGAAGTCCCCACACTGAACATCTAAATCTTGTAGACTGGCACTGATGCAATACAGGAATGGCTGGCTGTAGCTGTGGATGGGACAGAAGTTGTCCGTTACTATTTCTTCTTGTTGAAAATAAGTGATGTTTAAAAAATACATCTGTCTGATCAGAGTGATGACTTTTGAAAGCTATCCTAAAGGAGTTTCACAAAATATTTTGTTAATGTACCTTTTAAAGATATGTCGATTTCTTTCCATACTGTAGAGAAATCTCAGGGCTCTGAAAGCGTAACACTACAGCAAGAAAAATACTTAAGTTAATGACAAATTTATACACAAATGGAAAAGCCACTGGTAAACATCAAGGATTCCCCTTGACTTTACACTTCAGTAAATCTTGTACTTAAATGACTAGATAGATTATATTATTAACCTGATGATGAAGAGAGTAAAAATATACGAAGTTCGTCTTGTATTTTAAAAGTAGGTAGGGCCACTTAGAGTTAAAAAAGTAAAAAAAAGTAAAACAAAAAGTGGGTGACTATAGCTATAGCACATGCTGAGGAACATCTAAGTCTTAATCATCTCTTTTTATTTGCAGATAGCTCAAGACTTGAGAGCTGCTCTCTTCTCCCATGCTGAAAAAGGAAAATATAATCAGTGGGTTTGTAACAATGCAGTAGAAACAGCATTTTGCATTTTTTTTTCCTGAAAAATGCAGTGTAGAACACCATAAGTTCTAACAGGGCACGAAAAACAAAAGTGAGAAAGAGAATATGGTCAACTTTTTTTTTAATAGTAAGTTCATCATATTTACATAGAACTTTATGTACCTCCATTTCTATCTTTATGTACGTTAGTTTTGATACTATCTCTCCTGAAGAAAGTTTACTTTTAAAACAGGCAGTGGCATACAGTTAATATGCGTACTTTTATGCAACTCATCTTTAATTCCGTTTATCAAGAGTCAATAATATGGCACATATACGGCTGACCAAATATGACTGTATAAAGTAAGCCAAAGAGAAATAAGGTATTGATATCTGAAACAATGCAGAGTAAATGCCTTTAACATAATTTAGAATTACTTTATTGCATCAGTGGCTAAAACGCTACTACAGTCCAGTGTGATAATCCCTATTTAGACAGTGGTAACTGTCTTAGTGATAACCGCAGAATTAATCCCCATGTTGAAAACAAATCTTTCAATATTTAGAAAATGCATTAAAGAAAGAAAATAAAGGCCAAATGCTACTTTTGAAGGAAGCAGGATACTTGAAACATTATAGAAAAGAAACATATGTTAATGCTGCTAAGAAGCAGTTTCTTTTACAGACAATGTTTCTTTTTAGTCCAAAGTAAACTCCACATCACAGGAGAAGGATGGTGTGTTACTATGTCTAACATTCCACTGGGAATCAGTGTCACAACTTAGCTGCACAAAATAACCCAGACCAGCTGGGTCATAGTTGCTACCTTGAAAGTTTTTCATTTTAGAGAGTATACATAGATCACAGAATCATTTTGGTTGGAAAAGACCTTTAAGTCCAACTGTTAACACTGCCAAGTTCACCACTAAACCATGTCCCTAAGTGCCACATCTACATGTCTTTTCAATACATCCAAGGATGGTCACTCAACCACTTCCCTGGGCAGCCTGATTCAATGATTGATAACCCTTTCGGTGAAGAAAGTTTTCCTAATGTTCAGTCTAAACCTCCCCTGGCGCAACTCGAGGCCATTTCTTCTTGTCCTATCACTTGTTACTTGGGAGAAGAGACTGACACCCACCTGGCTACAACCTCCTTTCAGGCAGTTGTAGAGAGCCATAAGGTCTCCCCTCAGCCTCCTTTTCTCCAGGCTAAACCACCCCAGTTCCCTCAGCTGCTCCTCATAACACTTGTGTTCTAGACCCTTTACCAACTTTGTTGCCCTCCTCTGGACACACTCCAGCACCTCAATGTCCTTCTTGTAGTGAGGGGCCCAAAACTGAACACAGTACTTGAGGTGCAGCCTCACCCGTGTCAAGCACAGGGGGACGATCACTTCCCTAGTCCTGCTGGCCACACTATTTCTGATACAAGCCAGGATGCTGTTGGCCTTCTTGGCCACCTGGGCACACTGTTGGCTCATATTCAGCCAGCTGTTGTTCAACACCCCCAGATCCTTTTCCACTGGGTGGAAAAGATCTTACTGTAGAAAGCCCATCAGTGAAGGTACATGATTATAGATTAATAATGAGATAAATAATATTTTAAATGGCAATAAGATTTGTTTCTCTTGCACTAGTATTGTGAGATTAATATTTAACATAAGTGAAGCATATCACAAAAGGCATGATGATTTTTATATATGGTATGTATGCAGAATAAATGACCGATATCACTGCCACCCTTGATGTAATGGAGTAAGATCACTAAGGTAGTATGGTAGAAAGAAGCTGAAAATTTAATCGTGAAGACACAAACCATGGAGCAGTAAAGAAACCAGACCAGCATTGCGAGAATTCTAAGAAAAATGCCTATGAAATTCAAAAAGGGTATTCCAATAGCTGCAACTGTACTGCATAGCAGTAACAATGATAAAGGCAATACAGATAGCAGCATGAGAATCCAAAGAAAGTTTCATTTAAAAAAATACTTCTTATTGTTTGCCTGAAATGGATTTAGTTTTCATATGTGATCACTACGTCTAATCTTAATTCTTATGGCTTCGTGTTTAAACCAACTACAGTTGTATAAGGCAACTGTACTGAGCATATGCTCCGGTTTATTAGACTCCATGTTAGTTTCATATGCCCTCTAGGAAGATTTTTATTTATCTCACCCTTAAGCTGATTTAACTGAAACATACTATAAAACCTTGTTGCAGAAGAAATGTACCTACTGCACTGAATCTGCATTCCAACCCTAATCTAGAAGAACTGCGATGAGAAAGATGACAGCACAGTATTTTTTTTTATTTGTGGAAATGCCTTCCCTTGCTATCCAGGCACGTCTACCTGATTGGATAGTTGAGTAGCTATGTAGCCATGTTAGTGTAGGGCTATGCCAGAACAAAGACCAGGTGAGAGGCAGGATTCACCGCTGCCAAGGACCTCCTCACATTTGCCCACAGAAGGGTAACTGGAGCAGCAGCAATTGTGTTCATCCCTGACCACGAGACCACTACTTTCCTATAGCTTAGAGACAGCAGCACCATTTCACAGAGGCTGAAGCAGAGCTACCAGATAATTAGTTATCCTCCCCCACTACTCTGCCCTGGTGAGGCCACATCTGGAATGTAGTGTCCAGTTCTGGGCTCCCCAGTTCAAGACAGACAGGGAACTACTGGAGAGAGTCCAGAGGAGGGCTACGAAGATGATTAAGGGACTGGAGCATCTCTCTTATGAGAAAAGGCTAAGAAAGCTGGGTCTGTTTAGCCTGGAGAAGAGAAGAGTAAGAGGAGATCTTATTAATGCTTGGAAACATCTGAAGGGTGGATGTCTAGAGGAATGGGTCAGACTCTTCAGTCCAATGACAGGACAAGGGGCAATGGACTCAAACTGGAACACAGGAAGTTCCATCTGCATACGAGGAAAAACTTCTTCACTTTGAGGATGATTGAGCACTGGAACAGGCTGCCCAGAGAAGTTGTAAAGTCTCCTTCTCTGGAGATATTCAAAACCTACCTGGACATGATCCTGTGCAACATGCTGTAGGTGATCCTGCTCTAGCAGGGGAGGTGGACTAGATGATCTCCAGAGGTCCCTTCCAAAACCTACCAATCTATGAATCTGTGAATCTGATAACTTTTAGCTTAAGTTGACTCAAACCAGTACATTTGGGGGGGGGTGGGGGGTGGGTGTATTATCATGCAAAACCAAGAGCCATTCTATGCTTATTAGCTCTATATTTAGGCTACATTTAAATTTGCTCTACTTCATGTTATGTTTTCCTGTATTTTAACAGCCACAGTAAGAAACACATATTAGTACAGTATCAAAACTGTGAGTTTCAATGAAGACCAAGGCACTAAAAAGAAGATCTGATGCTGGGAAGCCTGAAAAAGCAGAGGAGAGATTATAACAAGAAAAATACTCACTTTTCTTTACACTATATGAGGTGTCAGAAACAAAGCTGATCAGAACAGAACAGAACACCAGAAATTGAAACACTATTTAACTTTTAGTTCCTGAGGCATTTGTTATTCCTGGTTTTGTTTCGGTGGGTTTTCTTCCCCTTTGAGTAAGATTTTTTTACTGCACTTTAAAATAAACTTTAAAATAATAAAAAATTCTCAGGGACTCTTTGGGGCTTTCAATGTGCAATGAGCATAAAGGGAGTTACCTGTAATAAATTAGCTTTTTCATCATTCCTTCCTTTGTTTGGTAAAATCAGCTTTGCTATTGTATATATTCCATTTGCCTGGTAACAGTGAAAGGTCAGTATTAATAGCACTCCTTTACATAGAAACCACAAATAAAAACTAATATTACTTCAGATAAATCAGAAGCTAATACCACGTGACAAGTTCTCAACATCCTTCTGCACACCTAAATTATAAGCTCGAATGACTTAAACGTACATAAGAATGAAATCATTGTTACATTTAAACTGATACTGCAGAGAGAACTTGCGAACACATAGTGAAGAAATGTTTCTGTCTCTAGAGGTGAAGGAAACTGCAGCAACAGATCTCCTGTCACCATTAATGTTAATTAAATGATGGCAACAAATAAGAACAATTAAGTCAAATTGTAAACTATAATGATTTACTTAACTGAATAACTGTCACCATGTGGATATTTTGAACTGTCAGGAACCTAAAATCGAGTCACAATAAACATAAGCTGGAGAAACACCATAAGGGATAGCCTGAGGAATAGGTCTGTGCCTTCAGTAGGATTTTGTGAAAACCATACTGTATTTCAGCTTCCATTTTCATGTAACCATTCTTGTGTCCTCCATTAATGTATCCATCATGATGGTTTGATAGATGGGCACTGGTAGATCTAGTTACAGTACTGTTCCCTGTTACTTGACAAGCTCCATGCTGGAGACTACTCTCCTCTCTAGCAGAATTGAAGAAAATATGTGTCAGCTCTGCAGAGGTTCTGCTGCAGTTCCTGACGTGTTTTCTTAAACTGTTCATGAAGGCAGAGTTGAGCTAAGGTTTTAGGCTGTGCAGCAGAGCCATCAAGTTATAAACACATTCTGGCCTGCTACCAGAACTGCTGAAGACTGGTATCAAGGCTGTAAGTTGAGACAAGGACACAGGGTGGACAGGTAGAGGGCAGCTACAGCAGAAGTAAATGGTTCTCAACTGCCTGACACAAGAGTTCTTTGCCACTGAACAAGATAAACCTTTAGAGGTCAGTTAGCTTGACTTTCTCGGCATATAACTGAAAGAGCTGCTGCTATTTTTAGTGCCTCTAAATACTACATTTTAAAATGCAGTTTAGAAACACAGTCCTGGGGATGCAGTGCCAGGAAGTTATCTCAGAAATACCAAATTCTGAGGAAAAGAGAAATTATTTGTGAAGCAACAGCATGCCAATATTAAGCTGCACAGAGTTTGTTTTAATAAACTTCATGAAATTCAGAATTTACATTTCTCAGTTAATTCCATGTCTGTATATGCAAATGTATGAAGAAACAGAGACACTAAACTTATATAAAGGCATATTTTCCAATCCCTTTCAAATGCATTGTTTGTTAATTAAATGATGGCAACAAATAAGAACAATTAAGTCAAACTGTAAACTATAATGATTTACTTAACTGAATAAAGTCTTCCTACCTGTACTACCTGGTAAGCGTTAGTCTCATTGAGCATCAATTCAGTAATGGCAGCACAACAAGCTAGAATACAAATTCAGATGTAGCATTTAGGGACAGATTCATAAAGATATTCAGATAGCGTGGTAGGTTAAGTTTAGCTAAGGGCCAAACGCTCACCCAGCTGCTCATTCACTCTCCCTCCTTAACAGGACAGACGGAAAAGATAGGATGGAAAAGTTCATGGGTCAAGATAAAGACAGGGAGGTTGCTTACCAGTTACAATCAGAGGCAAAACAGACTTGACTTGGGGAAAAATAATTTAATTCATTGCCAATTAAAATAGATTTTGATAGGGAAAAAAAAAGACAACAAAAAATTAAAACACCTTCCCCCCACACCATCCTTTTTTCCCCCCCCAGACTCATCTTCACTCCTTCACTCCCGACTCTTCTGCCCTCTCACCCAGCAGCACTGGGGGTGGTGGATGAGGGTTACAACCAGTACATAACAGTTCCACTCTGCTGCTCCTTTCTCCTCCCGTTTCCCCTGCTCCAGCCTGGGTCTTCTCCACATGCTGCAGCATAAACACCTGCTCCACAAAGGTCTCTCCCATAGGCTGCAGGGGAATCTCTGCTATGGTGTCTAAAGCACCTCCTCCCCCTCATTCTTCTCTGGCATTGGTGTTTGCACTGTTTTTTCACTCCTGTATTTTTTTTTTCCTTCTCCTTCTCTGCTCAGTCAGCATTTTTGCCCTTTCTTATCTATGTTTTCACAGATGCACCACCAGCTTCACTGATGGGCTTAGCTTTGGCAAGCTGGGTCTTTTGTGAAGCCAGCTGGAACCAGCTGTGTCCAGCACAGGCCAATCCCTTACCTCTTCCCACAGTGACCACCACTGCAGGCCCCCTGCTAACAAAACCTTGCTACTTACACGCAATACAGAAGGCTAAAAATAATAAACAAGTACTCAGAACTAAAAAAGACCTCTGCAAGTTCGGTGCTTACTCTTTCTTATGAGTCCTTAAGGAAGGCAGAAGTAACCCAGAAACATGCTCTACGCTGGCAGTACTTTTGGTACTGCAATTTATTTCACATTACCAGCTCTTCAGAGAGAACATTCATGATAACAAACACTTACATATTATGATACAGCTTTCAGGAAGATACTGCAAAGGCTCATGTAATCCTATAGGGATATTCTGCATTGCCCTTCTATAGTCACTGGAAAAAGACATGATCCTCCAGAAGGCATTTAAGAATGGATAGTTGACGTGCTATTGAGAAATCTCCTCTAAAAGATATTCTCTCCATAACTACTGAGGAATTCTCACCTGACCAGTAGTCTTGAAAATACCACTTTGAAAGAGTTCCATGATAATCAATTAATGATTCATCTACCATAGTAAATTTGAATAGAGAGAAAAAATATGATCAAATAAATATAAGCTCTGGCTAAACCCAAATTTTTTTTAAAATATATAAATTTTTTTCAAGATGTTTTTACAGGTGGAAGAAATATATATGATTCCCATGTACTTAATACTTTATCCTTTTTTCTAAAAAAACTGTGCTTTTTGACAGTATGTGCTGGTATTGCGCATTTAGAAATAAACACATCTGACTTGGTGCTCCCACTCCTTAAAGCAGGTATAAATGTTTATAATTTCAATTTTGAAATATTTTAATCCCTTTCCACAAGTGTAAGTAAATACATAACAGAGGATTAGGCCTTATAAACCTACCTGCTTGAAGTGAGAAAATATTTTCTTGCATCTCATCAGGACTCAAATCATCTGACAAATGAAGATGTTGGATTCTCCCTGCTGCATTCGCACTAGATAAACTTCCAACTGAAGAGCGATCAGAAACAAGATTTCTTCCCCTGGGGCAAGGAAAAAAAATAAATCAAATTGTAGTGTAAAAAGTATGGCTTAGCATATCTTTGTTAACCATTTCTAAGTTCTGAAAATTTGTATTTTTTTCACTAAATAAGCTAATACACTTTGAAAAAGCAAACAAGCCTTTAAGCAGAAAATTTCTTTACTGTGTTCATCAATTATATTCACAATTCTAGCTCACTAAATAGTTGTCTGATTAATAGGAAAACTAAGTAGACTATAATGACACTTATAATCTATTCATTATTTAGTTGACACACTGAAAATATGAAATATATGAAAAACACTTTAAGACAACGACATATGCATAGCTGAAAAATAATACTGCTTATTCATTACGTTCTAAATAGCCTTTTAATTTCTGCAGACATCACATACAGCTGAACAAAACAAAGATGCTGTTTGATAAAACAGGACTTGGTCAAATAGATCTAAAAATATGAAACAGTCTCATAAAATTGCCATAATGTTGAGGACCGAAAGCCTACCCCTGTAATATATGAAGGAGCTGCTTGATTCCACCCCAAATTCGGATTTCCACACTAGTCTCAGGGTCTTCACAAACCTGCACCAGAATCCAAACTATACTCCATAGAAGTTTAATATGATCAGAATGGAGTAAACTGAGCAAGACTGGAACTCCTTCATACATTTTTACTTGTTCTTTGACTTGTGACTCTGCACAGAGGAGACGTAGCAACTCTGCTGTGAGCCTAAAAAAAAAATATCAGCACAAAATTTTAACAATAATTCCATCATCACTTTAAACTGTCAGTTAGCAAAGGGGGAAAAAATACAGCAAATTTTTAAGAAAGAACAAAGACCTCTTATTTAAAAAAAAAAAGTTAAACTGTTTAAAGTCACATTAAACTGGTTAAAGTCACTGTTTAAGTAAAGAAAAAGAAGGTCCAAATTTTCACAAGCGATGAAATAATATTTACATTGAGTTTGACTGTCAGCATAGGCAGCCAAGCATACACAGCCAGGATGGAGGTGGCCAGGTGGACTGCAGCCATCCATAGTACCACCTTCTTCTTAACGGTATTAGTACTACAAGTAGCACTGACTGCACGAACTTGTAAAGTCCATCTGTGGAATTAGAATAACTCCACAAATAATAGTGATTCTTGTCCAGTATGGTTTGAATATTATGTTTACAAAAATGATTCAATATATCATTTAAAAGGTTTATACGAGATTTTCATTAACTTCAATTAAGGTGGATTTTCCATAGCAAATATGGTTAGGGATTTCCATTTCCACTTGAAGCAAAAAAGCTGCATGTGTGTTTGGCAAAACATATGAATTCAGATTCATATCCAAATTCAAAATTATTCTTAACTAGCATTGAACTTCATCAGCTTCCTGTCTACATTCAAATTCCAGTTTTTATAATAAACTTTTGGTTTACATATAGTCTAAATTATTTCAAACCCAGAAACCAAATAAAATCTTTTGGCACATTCATTTTCTTTATCTTTAGTTGTATGTAAAAATAATTTACATGTGTGAAATAATTAAGCATGAAACTTATAAAAATCTCTTCAGAATTCTAAATGTGATAGGATAAGTGACATCAAATTTGAGAGTCTTTCAGGTTCTTACTGAAAAGCAGATACACTATGCTCAGCTAGCAAGCTTAGCTGAGATGAAAGGACATTTAAAGAACTGAAGGAACCTTTATGATTTTCTGACTGAAGGAATGTGAGATCTGACCCAGCCTCTGGCATAAACTACAAAAGCTGTATTTCTTGCAATTTTTTTACTACTTCATATTGGGCATCCCAGGAACTGTCAGAGTTCAACATGCTTTCCGTCTAACCACTCAGGTCTCCCAGCAGCAAAGAGGAGATACACCAAGAAAAGCAATTACTATCACTTTATGGTAACATTGCAATTTATTTGTACCACGCTGTAGACCATCAGTGGAGAGGAGAAAGCTTGTAACAAAACTACTAGAAAAGATTTTGCTATATCAATATCTGACTGAAAATACATAGGTATCAGAATTTTACCTTGAGTATATTAAAGTGGCACATTATCTAATTCCTCTAAATAAACATGTCCCTAAATGAAAAAGTCAAAAGATATTTTAACACAATTAATCTACAAGCAAAGTCTCACCTTTTAGAAAGCAAATCGTATTCATGTAATATCACCAGCAAGTTCTCAACAATGGTGAGCTCACTTATCTTCTCCCTACATTCTGGACTACAAATTGATTATTCCTGGCATTTATATCAAATTAAATTATATGAAAAAACACATTGCTCTTTAGCCTCACTCCTTATACGTTTGACCAATTATTTTTTTTCCTCAAGTCTTAAGTAATAATATCATATTGTACACACAAATATTTAAAGCCACAAAAATATGCTGGGTCAAGAGTGACACTGCAATAATTTCCAATTTTCCCAATACAAAAAAAGTAAACATGAATGTGTAAAAGTAAAGACACAAATGTATTTAATTTGTTTCATACTAGAAACTAAGCAAACAAGGTACATTTTTAGAATCAAATACAAATTCCATTAAAATTTGTAATATACTCCAAACACTTTCTTGCCCAGTCCAAATGTTACACATTTAATTCTGTGAAGAAAGTAAAATAGAAGTTGGGAAATGTATGTATAGCACCATGTAATTTAATACTGATATTAAAAAAAATTAAACTGAAATAAAATGAAAGAAATTTGGGAAAAGAGAAAATCCAGAGAAATCTTAGTAAATTAATTTCTGCTGATCTCAAGGAATTGTATCCATTCTCTTCAGTTTTGTGATATTTCTTATAATTTTTCATTTAAAAGATAAAATTGTTACACAAGTCTGGAAGTCAACAGAACAATAATGAAGAAGCAGCAGCTTTTCTTCTATAAAACTATTAAGGATGAAAAACGCTCTATCTTCCTTTTCCTTTTTTTCCCTCGACAGAAGGAAAAAGAAGCCTTATCTTTATTTAAAACAGTCATTAGTGAAGAGAGGATTCATATACATGGATTTGAGCGCATGCATTCATTATTTACTACACTGAACAATACTCTTGCTGGTTATTGTGAGGTACTGTTATATTAAGTCCAGCACAAAAGAATTTTATCTGCAGGAAGCCAGTAAGAATTCCAGAATCCTGCACAGGGATTGCAAAGAGAGATTTTGTGACTCCAGCCTTGCAAAGTTCTCTGTATAAGCAAGCAGTCTGCTGCAAGGACCAAAGTTGCTACTTAGTTTCTACTGCTTCAATGTAAAATTAAGCACACTTCATAGAGCTCCACAGAACAAGGCCTTTTTTGAAGAAAAAAAAAAAAAAAAAAAAAAAGTCCTCCTCATCAACAGTAGTTTTAATATTGTGTCAAGAGATAACACTAAAATGCTTCTTGGGAACTACAGCAAATCAAGTTGAACCTACCTTTCTGCTAGGCTAGTCAGAGCAAGGAGGGCACCCAAAAGCACATTGCTGTCTCTGGCGGATAACAAATTTACTAAGGTCTGGAAAATGAAACATGAAGCAAGATAAATAAATATAAATTATATTCTTTTCTTTTACAACTGAAACACATATAGAGTTATTTATTGAAAAGTCAAAATTAAGATACCAAATCCTTACACAATACACTAAAAGTCTTAGGTAGATTTACAGTACACTTTAAGTATACTTCAATATACACTTAAAATCTTAGAATACACACAGTCTTAGGACAAGCAAGGACTGCTACAGCATCTGCCCAATTTAATGTACCATTGTAAAAATCTGTTCCTGTGTAAAGCACTTCAGAACTCTAAATCAAGGCCTCTTGAAGCAAAAAGTTAATTTTCAGCTTATATTTAAACAATGCAGTATGTAATTTAAGGCCCTACATATATTCTGTAAATGATTTATATCAAAATAAATTTCATATTTGTCTTGATTCTCTAAAAATATGTTGTCTGATACTATCTGATTGCAATTGCCAATGTTTACTGCAGCGTAATAGAATCAAAAGCACTAGTTATACTGATCTTGATCTCTACTGTTTCTGTTTGGCCGCAAATCAGCAATGGTCAAGTACAGACCCTTAGACTGATGGTAATGTATAGCAAGGAATGTCTAGGTTGTCACTGTCTAGGTTGATACTAGAATATTTGATAAGTGAAAAATCATAGCAGAAATTTATATTAAAAATATAAATTAAAATATACTT